CGCCTCTATTGAATTTTTAGTGAACATTCAGTATTTGTAAATCGATACCAAATTTCATAATCAATAAACACAAGTTTTAGAATGAAATATTAAAATAATTGTTTTATTTCTGTGATGAAAAACATACGTAGTTTTGATTGTTCATATTACTTTTGTATTGAAATGGTAAACATCTACACTTGCGTTATTTCATCCAATTTATTTTTCAATTGTCTGCAGATTTGTCGTTGCAAAAATTGTCCATATGTTGAATCGTTTGTGTACACAAACAGCAAATAATAATCAGCATTCTTATGTTTGGAAAATCCTAATCAAAATTCTCTGTGTGAATTCATCTCCGTTGTTTCTAAACAAAACAAAGGAAAGTGGATCACTTCAGAGAAACTACTATTCATACTATGTTTTGGTTTCAAATTATACGACTTTTTTGGATTATTTTGTTTTATTTAATGAAATAATTAATTTCTATTCATTCATTAACAACCTTTATTTCGCGTAAACCGTATGAAAATCGTATCTTCCTTAACATCGATTATTGCATCGCACAGCATTATCATTATCATATTGATTATCAAAATCGGGGAAAAACAATTCGTAGCGATTTCGATATCTCGAATGTACTAGGTGTGAATATAAATTAAATACTTATACAAAGAACACATTAAACCAACATGACACACAGTGATACTTTGACATTAGGTCCATAAAACATGCAACATTCACGCTTATTTTGGATAATCAAAACCCTCTAAATTTCCATCTAACACCTTTTCAAGTTCATCCAATTGATTGACCAAATCTTGTTTTTCTGCAATGATTTTCATGGCATGTGCTTCTGCCTGTTCCATTAGCTTAATATTTTCATCCTCCAATTGCTTCTGTTTAGCATGCGCGGCGGCGATTTGAACTTTGAGCATACTGTGTTTTGTTTTGGCCTCATCAGCTTGCTTAGTCAACTTACGAGTGCAGTTTTCATTCTTTTTGTTCTTCATTGTCGATTTTTTCTCGAGCACCTCATTTTCGAAAGAGATCTTCTCATATTTTTTCTTGATACTATCAAATTCTTTCGTCAATGCTTCCGATTCTGCTTTCAGAACGTTTAATTTGCTAGTTGCCTTGTCGAGTTCGATTTGTGTTTTATGCTTTTGAATTTTCACGACACTGAAAATATGTGACAACGTTTGTTCCACATCTTGTACTAGCTGAAATAGAAAAAAAATAAATAAATATTGAGTGTTTCAATACAAGAAAAGAAAACATTCTTACTTGAACTGATGGACTTGCCGGCAGATGCAGCAGGTTTAATTCCTTTTCGCCGAATTTAAATTGAGTGTTGTTTAGCACTTTTACGATTTGCATTCCGCGATGATTGATCTTAGTAATCGCTTCAGAAACCTTCTTTAATAGTCTGGCCCGCGTGATCTGCTGAATTGACTCCTCATCTCGAATGAGTTTAATTTCATTTTGAACTGTTCCAACCGCCGTTCTCATCATAGACAATTTTTCGGCCAATTTTCTATAGTCGGCAATACTGTGCTCTTGCTGTTGAATTTGAGTGGCAAGTGCCTGAATTTTCGATTGAGCCTGTTGCACTTTGGCGCGTTTATCATTCCAATTCACTTGTACGGCAGCCAATCGATCACGTTTATCCTTCAGTTGATTCTCCAGATCATGTTCCATGGTCTCGTATTCGACGTATTTCGATTCCAGTTGTTCAAACTGATGCAAATTGTTCAACTGCACCGGATTATCAGCCAATTCTTTCGATTTAATTTTCAGATTGTCGGTTAATGATTGAAGCTCAGCAGCTGTTTCAACCTTGTGATCCAATTTGGCAGCGATGAGTTGATCGGTGAGACGATCGATAAACGTTGAATGCTCATCGCTTTCGTTGTTCCACAACAGATAACCATCTTGAATGGCCTTGGAAAACATCGATGTGTATTCTTCATTTGGGAATTGTTCATCCTTCACGAATAGATACTTGCCCAATATTGAATCATCGGACGCAATAGTTGACACGCTGCTAACACTTCCCAACCACAGAAGCATCACCACAATTTGATCAAATGTATGCGGTGCATTGGGTGTCTTAAGCATGGATTTGTTTACAGCGAATGGGTACTGAACGGAATCCATAAAATTAAGGATGCCATTTATCGGGTCACCACCCGTTATGAATGTGTCCAAATCCTTTCCGCAAATCAAGCGAACGAAACGTCTTATGATCATGTAGAATTGATTGATGGTCATTGTTTTTAAGCAACCATTTTTGAGATTCAGATCAGCATAGAACGATTCGTCACGTTGTAGAATCTCCTGAACTTTTATTATGTTCTCATGTTTTGATTTTCGTGAACTGTCTGGTGGCATCACTGAGTGGCGCACAGCTGGTGATCGGCCACGGAGCGGCGTTGACATTGTCGAAAATCGGCTTGGCGTGTTCAAATAATTGTCACTGCCATAACGACGCAAGCCACCTGAAGAACGACCAATTGTATCTCGCGATAAGCGGGTTGCACTCGATGATCGAGTCGCACTCGACGGTGGAACCACTCGGGGCCCAATGGATGAAGGACGTGCAATATGTGATGGTCGTGAGAGTGTTGCTCCTTGGCCCACGTTGGACAGACGATTTTTCGAAAGCGGCAAATTACTTTTTCTGTTGACGAAAAAAGTCACACATTTTCAATGGATGTCAAAGAAATGAAAAACAAGCAAACCAATATAAAACACTTGATACAAACCTTGTTGAATAGGACTTTTTGTCGCTGTACGTGAGTTTTCTTTTCTCGGACATTTTTCAGTTTACAATAATAACCATTGACTCGAACAGACAGACCAAAGTTTGTTATTTACTTTTCAGCGTGCAAAACCCCACTTCATTGAATTGCGACCGTTTATATTTATTTCAAATGACTTTAGCGTCTATTGTGTATGTAAAAATGTTGGCGCTGTGATCGGTGGCAATATTTTGAACTTGGACGATTTGACAAAAGCTTGGTGTTCACCGATGTCTTTGAATTTTAGAACTGAGTGAAAAACTTAACAAATAGGTAATACAATTTTCAAACGAAATTCTTTTTTTTTCAACATTTTTATCAAATTTTATTTTCGAGTAACGATTAAAATTGCCTATTAATTAACGTCAATGATCAACTGCTTCTTGGCCGTCTCAGATGGTACTAGCTCGGATTTCTTGGGCGTTCTAATGTTATCAAGCGGTGCAATATTCGATGTCCCCCGTTCGGAAACACTAGCACCCGACACAATCAACTCCAATGCGCCTTGTACTTGCAAAAAGTCTTTTGTAACCTTCTCTTCCCGATGCAGAGCCTTGGCCAAATTGATAAAACTACGACCAAGTGGTCCAGTGAACTCTTTGAATTGGTCTTCATACACATTCAAGAGGATATTTGCAACATCGATTAAAATCCTTGAAAATCTATGGTCACCAATGTATCGAATGATGAATAGGATGATATTTGACAGTGAGTTATGAGTTCGTCCGGCCAATGCTCTAAATTAAATAAATAAAAGGAAAATATAATGTGGGAAATGCAATCGTTCATGTATGCATACCTCTCTAAACCTTTTCGTCGGACTAATTCCTGCATCAAAGTGACTGTTATGTGTGGATTTTTGTTCATTACATAGTTTGATAGTACCACATTTAATGCGCCCGTGTAATCATATTTCCGCAGAAATTTGTCATATTTCGCGCCAATGGTCCGGTCGTAATCTTCTATAACTTCATCGACTGTTGTCGCATGGACTGGGATAACTTTTCGGCTTTTGGGTATTTTCGGTGCGGCATATGTTTCACTTTCCATGCGTTGAATTGAAATCAATCCATCAACCATACCGGCGACTAGTGCTTCGTCATTATGGCAAACACCCAAACTCAGGACAGCATTTGGGAAGTCAAACGAATGAACTGGCTGATAGTTCGCAATGTCATACACTTTGACATGACGATCGAGACCCGATGACATGAATCTTCGACCATTACTGGCCATTCGCAGGCATGTGATGGTTTTGTGATGCTCGGAAATCTGTGCGATTTGCTTACCCGATGAAAATGCATCCCAGACTTTGATTGAAGTACCACCAGCACTAAGGAATATACCACCTGTGGGCAACCACATCAGAGCCTCTACCGGTAGATCGTGATTCACTTCAAATATGACACTCTTCTCATTCAGTCCACCAACACGGATGTCAAACACTTTGACCACTTTATCATAACCACCAGAGATGAAGATGTTCGGCGAAATTGGACTGGCACAGCCAGCGCGAATGTAGTCTCTGTGCTCTTCAAAGCTCTGCACAACTTTTTCGGACGGAATATCCCAAAGTTTGACCGTTCTGTCGTCCGAAAAACTCACAATGTGCGTGTTGTCGGCGGTGAATGAAACGCGATGCACAGCAGCTGTGTGTTTGCGGAATATACGCAATGGATTCTTCGATGAACTTTCGAACAGTCTTACTGTTCCATTTTCTTCACCGGCCACCAACAGGCGACCATCTTTCCGAAAAGTGGCCCCGTATGCACTCTTCTCGAATGCCGATATGTTTTGCACGACTAACTTTGTAAGAGGATTATAAATTTGCACGCGAACCGAACACGAAACGGCAAAATTATACGGATCCACTGGACTGAAGTCGATATAATCAATTGCTCCAAACTCTTTCACTAATGTTGGTACCTATAGATTTGGAATCAAGGCTTTAGTTTTGGCATACATAACCTTTAATCATTTTGTGTATATTTCGATTGCTCACCGATAATTTCTTCCAGTATAGCGTGTCTTCGGTTTGAATTCGTGCCGCCTTCAAATACTTTTCCGTGTTCAACCTCTTGAACGATGTCATCGTGACGATTATCCCGTTTGTCCACTATTTCCAAATGATTTCCACTAAAATGCGTTCAGCCGAATGTTTTGTTATTGTTCGCATGTGTTAGAATTTGTTGCTCGCTAGAAAAAGCATGTGCCTCGTGACAGTTCAAACTGTCAAATCCACTTTAGATTGCCCGATTTGACTGTTTTGAAGGGGAAAAATACACAAATAGCTTTGTTTATTATAACAACGTGCAGCATGTATTTTTTTTCTCATACAAAATCGCTTATCGCAGTAACAAATTATTTTTGATCTGAGTTTCTGTCGGAATTCGGTTCACTTTCGCAGGCCGCTTGAATCAAAAGTGGCACCAACTCGTTTCTGTACAAATTATGATCTTCACCGTGCGTTATCTTTATGATGTCACTAGCTTTGTTCAAATTATGCAATGCCTCCTTTGAATTGTTTGTAAAGAGTTGAATTTTTCCAACTTTCATGTGAAGTAATCCGAGTAATGGGTTGAAGTCGCCGTTATATTTACTGTTATGGAGAAATAGGGAGCATTTTGAATCTCATAACTGTCAATATTATCATCTATACTAACCGAAAGCCTGGTAACAGTTCAATGCCGTACTCGAGAGCTTCGTTCCATTTTTCAAAATCAATCGCACTTTCAAAAGCAAGATCGAGCGTTTTCAGAAACCAAATATTCATGCGATGCAATACACCACGCTGACGCTTCACCAGAATACTGCAAATATCTAAGTCTATGGAAAACAAGAAGATCATATGAGCCGATTTCACTTGAAAACTTTTTGCAATCATAATATTGCTTACACGCAACGCTTGACATTTTCATTGAATCCAAATGCATTCGAGTTGCATGCATAACATCCTTGAATTGTTGATAATGCTTCGCTGTAATACGTTCATCACATTTCTTGCAGTTTGTTGGATACTTTTTAAGCGATTCAAAGTCGATAAATTCGTTGCATTTTGCATTTGAACAAGCACCTGCATTCATTTCAACCGGCTCTTTTTCATCTAAAAATATATTGTGAATTAAATCTTGTATTCATACTGGTTCACATTGGTGTGGATTATATTAAATTTATAGTTGGAAAATGGCGCATACCTAAACATCTTTCACACTTGCACAAAAAGTAGTAGTTTTTCTGTAGCTCATGCCGCCGAATTTCAGTGGGGTCCATCAAATCCACATACGATATGAATATCTGAAAAAATACATTGTCTATTTGAACCAAATAAATTGAAGAAAGATTGAATGTTCTATGGCATACTTTTGACCAATCGTTTGTAGAGGGAAGGTCTTCAATTGTTCGAATGAAAAGTGTTGTGCCTTGGAATGTGGCAACTGCATTGGGTTTGCAGCTGTGATCTGTGATTGATACACCTAAATAAATACCAGTCGCGATTGAATTCATTTCTTGGTCTAAAATATTAAATGCGTTCACAATCATCTGCAGAAAAATTCCGAATAATTAAAATAATAGAATGTTAAAACAGAAAAATCGAAAGAATTTCACATGAACATGTCGTACCCGACCGTAAATTGCCAAGAAATCCGTTTGATTTGGCATCAAGTCCACAGTTAAAATATCTTGTAATACAGCTGTTAATGATTCCACATGCTCAATTCTCTCAATATCCAACTGAATGTCGGGTGAATCTGAGATTACAATTATTACGTTGATTAATTACTTATGCACAATTTATTATTAAGAAATTTGCTTACGTGACATCAAATCTTTAAACTTTCGGTAGAACTTTTCCGTGTAATATCCTTTCTCCGCGTCACCGCCATCGTTGAGCTTTAGAATGATCCGTGCCATTACGCGGGCCGCATCGGGGACTATTTTATCAGCAGCTCGTTTCAGACATGGACATTCTGCTTTATGAATTTTCCATGCATTCGTCTGGCACTCGCGACCGCAATAATAAACATATTGGCAACCGGAACACTTGAGCACTTTCCCTCTGAAAATGTGAAAAGAGAAAATCAATTCCATATTTTCGTAAAGATAATAATGGTGTTTAATCACAAGATCGGTTGAAATCGCTTGTTATTT